CCAGACAGCGAAAGATTCCTTAAATAAGACTTTTTACTAAATTAAACCAGGTGAAACTCAAACCTTCCAGGAGTTCTGGATAGAGAAGACAATTTTGTTTTGTCATTTTTTTACAATCTTGGTATAATTCCTGCTCTAAGTGGGTCGCTCTGTTAGCTAAAGGCATGTTTTACAGTCTCTATACTCCAGTTAACGATTAATCAATTACTGAATTAATTGAAGATTATTTCAGTAACCTGTAAATCACGATTAATCTGATTGATTCAGCCGTAGATCGAACAGTGATGAGGAGGAACGCAGACGTTGTGTAGGACGTCACAGAGGACCGCCGATGAGCCAAATAGTAGTGAAAAGATTATTGCCCTCTTACATCAAAACAAGGACGACGATGATCAAGTCCTTCGTGTGGAGTCCCCTGCTGGTTCTCCAGGTCTTCCAGTTCCTCCCATATTCAGGAGGAAACTGGAACGCCTGCTGACCACTGGAGACGGGAATTACCTCCCACCACACTGGGTCAGGGCTGATGAACACTAAAGATGGTGTCAGACAGGTGAATTTCAGCTGTCAGGTGTTTCATCTGATGTCTTCCTCCCATCCTTCTTCTCTGACCCAGTAAACTCTGCAGCTAATTAAACTCTAATCACCACTTTAGTCCCAGAAGGTCTGATCTAGTTCACTGTACCGATTCACAAACAGAACTTCCTGGGCATAAAATAAAGACTTCAAGGTGTTTCTGCATCTAGAAATTGAAACCAGAACAGATCCAAAATGTCCAGCTGTAGCCCAACCAGTGTCCAGATGTTTGGGTTCCGGTCTTTGATCTGAAACCTCTCACTTCTCTGCCTCACTCCTCAGCTTTGGTCAGGAGGTCCAGAGAGCCAGCGTCATCAGCAACCTACCCAGCCTGGTCCGTCAGAATCCAGCGGAGACTTTTCGGCGAGTTGTACCTAAAGTTCGGGTAAGTGTGGCCTGTGAACCGGACGGATGACTTCCTGGACGGTTTCACTGAATGTATCCTTCCTGTCTGTGTGAACCAGGAGGTCTTGAATGGAGCCGGAGCTGAAATCCAGCTGGCAGCAGCAACTTCCTTCCTAACCATCCTGCAGGACGACATCATCCTGATCCACACGCACACCTTCTCCATCCTGAAGACGGTGCTGCTTCACCTGAACCACAGGGATGCAGGTAACACCTGAGATCACCTGGACCGACTGAATCTGATGTTTTCTGAATGTTATAAGTCTCGACCTGATGTGGTGGACTCACTCGAGGCGTTGTTGGGTGTCGTACTTCCCTCCATAGTGGTGAGCACCGCCTGGTTGGAGACTCTGCTGTCAGCCATCAGTGCTCTGCCCAAAGAAACCATCAAGCAGGAGGTCAGTCCCTGAGAAAACTCTGTTAACCAACCATGTTCAGGTTCTAGTTGTCAATTGTTAAAAGTCTGGTCCGCAATGGATTATTATCTATACCTAAAACTAATACGTTCATGGTGATTCGATGAAGTTAGCATTAATTAGTGAAAAAATAAAAAACAATTGCTGTTTCTCATTTCACAAGAACGCGAGTGCAGACTTGCGTTCTCACCAAGTCCGTTCTTGACAAGAACCCAGGAAAGTCTGGACTCGGGGAGAACGAGAGCTCGCAGAATAAATCTGGGTCAATTGGAACAGCAGTGTACTGATGACATCACCACATTCAAAGCTAGTGTGGAGCTGAATTTCACCTCCTGTTATTAATAGTCTCTGGATAATAATAAATTCTGTCTTTTTTCATTTATTGGGGGAATAATAATGAACACAGTCAGATAAACATTTTGCCAAATAAAACAATCAAACCTCCATCAAAGCCAGCGGTACTTCACAAACGTCTATGCAGAGAGAGGGCTGCTGCAGATGGGCTAACGTTAGCCCTGGCCGCCGCAGACGGGCTAACGTTAGCCCTGGCTGCTGCAGGCGCTGCCTTGGAAATTTGGGTAATTGTGTTCTGAAAGCCCTTAAAATAAAAGGGAGACGATGTATTTGGACAAAGACATGGCTGAGCAAACATGGCTACTACGGTCTGTCAGTTTGACAGAAAGAACTCCATTTCACTCATTGGCCCCCCCACCATGATGCTGGGTTTTCATCTGAGAGGAAGAAGAAGAAGAAGAATCCTTGTTTGCCCACTGAGCGATTTGCCCACGACCACCTTAGGACGGCCGATTGAATTTCAAACATGTTTGATTTTCTCCTGACCTTCTGATTCCTGATGCGGCGATGGTCGTTAGCGGCTGATCGCCCCTCGTTACCCCTGCACACCACACCACGCACCATCAGGAAGAAAGTCGTCCCGAACCAAAAATTCTTACACGACTGGAGAATCATGCCAAAAAGGCCATAAATCGTACAGTGTGCGTCCGGCTTTAGAAACAGGAGCTAGAAAAGGAAGCTAGCATCAGGCCAATGAGACAATTTAGTACCTAAACATTTAGGCGATTTGAATATCCCCGTTTTATTATTCCCTGTTTGGAATATGTTTTAATCTGAAATGTAGGAATGGCTGGATACTGATCCATGACAATAAAAGCAAAATGGAGATTCTCTAGTTTACTTTCCTGATCCGGACCTGATGCTGTTGCTTCTGTCTCCCCAGGTGCTGAACCCTCTCCTCTACCAGAGTCAGCTGTCTCACTCTCCTCAGGCTCGTCTGGCCGCCTGCCGTATTTTAGGAAAAGCTTCCAGCAAGTTCGACTGTCTTATGTGAGGCACAGCACAGAAGCTGAGGCAGAGTGTTTAGTTGAATCCCATTTAACTCAACTGCTGACTGGTTCTGTTCATCAGAGTAAAAAAGGAGCTGCTGCCGTTGGCCCGCTCTCTGTGTCAGGATGTGGAATCAGACGTCCGAGTCTGTATGTGCCGCCAGCTGGAGAGCATGGCCCGAGCCATTGGGTAAACAGAACGCCGACTCCGTGATCGCTTTACCCTGGATCTCTACTTTACCGATTCAGCAGGTCCCTTTTGTTCTTCAGGGTGGATGACACCAGAACCGAGCTCCTTCCTGAGCTGCTGGAACTCGCCGGCGATGAGGAGAGCAGCGTTCGACTGGCCGCCTTTGACAGCATCATCAGTCTGATGGAAATGATGGACGGAGGTGAGTCCAAACTGAAGCAGAACTTTTTAAAACCTGTCAAGTGGTGGTGGAGTTTGAAGGAGGACCCAAATGCAGACACTATAGCTGAAGGTGGTTACTTGCAGATTTTAATAACAAAAGGGTAAAAGAAGCCAAAATCCAAAACTACTGCAAACTGGGAATACTTTCAACATGAGGGCAAATAAGTGACGGCAAACCAGGAAATAGTGACTGAACAGGAGGAAAATATATGCGAGAGAGAAACAAAGACCAGGCTAATTAGCAGATTGGGAGCAGGTATGAACAGAGGGGTCTAGAAGGGAGCTAGGGAAAAGGAGACTGGCACAAAGGGGCAAACAAGAAATATCTAAGAACTCAAATACAATAAAAAATAAATAGAAAACAAAAATGGAAATAAGATCAATGAAAACTCAGAGATAAAACTTGAACAGAACCTAAACCATGACAAAACCCCTCTTTTTTATTCAGATGATCTACTTCACCTTTTGGTTCCATTGGTGATGTCAGCATGCGATGCTTCGTCACAGGTGGACGAGGGGGTCACGGTGTCACTGTCGTTCCAGTTTGGGAAGCTCTGCAGTGGACTGGCAGGTTAGACCACACAGTTCTAACAAAACCTTCACTGAAGCTCTTCAGGTTTCATTTTACAGTAGATACAGCTCAGCCCAGAGGACCGTCTGACAGAATGAGACCCGGTACTGCCCTGGATTAAGGATGACTCCCCAATAAGCAAGCCTGGTTCCACTCATGATGTCAGCTGAGCCTGGTTCCTGAAGCCTGACGGTTGTTTTTGGTGTTTTGATTGTTGCTCTTCGTGTTTCAGGTTCCCTGTCGGATGAGCAGAAGGAGCTCCTAATGCAGAAGTTTCAGGTTCTGTGTATCACCGGACTACCGACTGAAGAAAATCAGATGGACGCCAGCGAGTCCACGTTGATCCGATGTAACTGCTGCTACAATATACCGGTACTTCTTTGGTACCACCCCAGACCCCTTTAAGTTCTTGCCCATCAAGCAAAAATTGGTTAAAAAGACGACATGATTTATGTCCAAACGACGTCTACAATTGGTTGAAAAGTGAAAGGTAAAAGCTGTAATTTTAAGAATGTTGAAAAGTCGTTGAAAGCTGGGTTTGTGACGTCTATTGTTAGACTAAATTGGGACATAATCATCTCCTTAGGGTTCTTTGGTATTCCTTTAATAGCCTACAGACCCCCAGGCCTATTTGAAGTCTCCACAGTTACAGAACCAGAAGGTTCTTTGGTTGTTCAAGAACTGTTCCTGTTCTCTGTTTTCAGGCCATGGTGGCCTTTGTGGAGCCGGCTCACTTCCTGTCCAATCTATATCCGTCATTCTCGGGTCTTTGCAGCGACCCGGAGGTCAGCGTTCGCCGAAGTGTAGCAGCCACTATCCACCAGGTAAGACTAATGCTACGTTCACATCGCACAGCTGGTTTACATGCAAAGTCAATGGTTGACACGCATTTGAGCAGCAGCTAGCAGCGCCTCATGAGCTTCTGAGCATCTGAGGCACGTGACGCGTCGCATCAACCAATCAGAGAAGCTGATCTGGGAGCTGGCAGGGAGACCGACACAGCACTGCTGATGCAGAGCGCTATGATCACTCCTCTGAAATGAAGCAGCAGACGTTTTTTTGCTGCTGAAGTCGTGTTCGGTGTGAACGAAGCATCACCGGTTCTCCTTGGTCTTTCCTTTCATTTTAACTCACAACTTTGCCTTTTCTGTCAGGTGGTGAAGATGCTTGGGCCTAACGCCCATGTGGTCCACAAAGAGCTTATGCTGCTGCTCCAAGACAGTTCTTTGGAGGTGAGGTTCCTGGCTCCTATTTGGAGGTGGAAATCCGATCCCCTTATGTCAGAGTAAAGAGATGGGTTTCACGTAGATCCACTGGGTCCAGCTGGTGCTTTAAATGTTTGTCTTTATTAATGTTTAGGTCCTAGATGCTCTGATGAACCACCTGGACGAGACTCTGGAGGTGGTCCTGTCCAGAGGAGACAACCTGACGCTGGACAACAAGGTGAGACAATCAGCTTCATGTTGGCCTAATCTTCCTTTCGCCATTCGGTTCATAGATTATTCCTGTGGTTTCTCTGTGGACCTTCTCAGCTCCAGGAGCTGCTGTCTGCGCTGCTGTCGGCTGAACAGAAAGTTGGATCTTCTCTTCGTTGGCGGTTGCATGAGAAGCTGCTCCACCGCTACAGCTGCCTGTCTAGATTGCTGCCAGGAGAGCTGCTGCACCAAACCTTCTCAGCTCGGATCTTCACCATCCTCACCACCAACGTCAGCATTGTCAGACTCAGACAGTCCCACAGGTGGCTCAGGTGACAGACAGGTAACTCTGCTCTGCTTTCCCCTGGCTGTAGAAAGTATTACCGGTTCAGAAGGAGGCGGCAAGGACATTTTGCACATTCTTACGCTACAACCGCAAGCAGGAGCAGCGTCAGGAGATGATGGGGCGGCTGATCCAAGGTCAGGGCATTTCTGCTTCTCTTGGTTTTACTCCTAACCTGGCTCTTTGGTCAATCTGGTTCTTTCTGTTCTAAGAGCTCGCTCAAGGTCGCAGCTATTGGAACCGTCTGAGATTCCTAGATGTTTGTGAAATTGCCACAGAGATTTTCTCCAGAAAATACTTCAACAAGCACTTCCTGATCCCGGCACTGGAACTTGTCCACGACCCTGTTGCCAATGTCAGGTAGGTCAGATCTTTCCTGTCTACAGGGCTGGACCTTCAGCCTTGTTCTCATGGTCGCTCCTTGTCCTGATGACTCACCTGCACCTTTCTCAGGTATAAGCTCTGCCAGCTGTTGCCTCGGTTGCGTTCGTCCCTCCGCCTGCCAGCCGACAAGCTGCTGCTACAGAAACTAGATTTCTGTGTCCAAAAGATTCTCTGTCGAGAGAAAGACAAAGACGTTGTGGCCATGATCCGCAAGGTAACTCAATCTAAGACCAGTATGGGATGGGAACCAGTTGGGTATTTGAGCATCTAATGTTTGGATTTTGATTGCCATCCCTCATTTTCTCCAGACAGTGTTGGAACTGGATAAACTGGATCTGTCTGAGCCTGTAAGGACCTGGTTCATGAACACCTAAGCAATAAACAAGTCGGCGCTTTGTCTGTTCCTGACAAGGATGCGTCGTGTTTTTGTTCACAGTTTCATAAGAGACATGAGTGGGACCTGCTTGATCAGAAGAAGGAGAAGGAGGAGATGCTTCTGCTGGAGATGGTGAGTCTGAGACTAACGTTCTGTTTGTGTGGAACAGGTTTTATTGATGCGTGTTCTGTTGTCAGGAGCAGCTGGAGCGGCAGCAAAACGATGAAAAGCTGAACTCTGACAAACACATGGAAAGAAAAAGTGAGCCTAACCTTCAGTTCATCACAAAACCTCCAGCAGATATAGAAGACGTCCCTCTGTTAACGAACTTTCTCTGACAGGAAGAGACAGCAAGACTAGTCTGTCCTCTACCAAGTCGATGTCCGTGTCCTCGTCAACAGGAGGCTCGTCCTCTGGTAAGATGATTGTGTCATTAAACGGACGATGCAAACGTTCAGGAGGAGGAGGAACATGATGAGATAAGGAAGGTTCTGCTTTGTGTCCAGGTAAAGAGATAAGGAAGGCCAAACTGTCTCGCAGTCGGTCCCTCAGCAGCCAGCCAACCTCGGCCAAACCTTTGAACTCGGATCGACCTCTGTAAGAACTTCACCCAGCCTGTAGAGTCCAGCAGGTGTTTTCACCTGATGGATGTCTGATCTTCCTCCACACCATGTCCCCACATGTAGCTCATTGTCTGCCTTCAAGTGTTTCTTTGACCATAGATGTTGTTAAAGACACGTGATCAAATCAACAGGAGGAAAACAGACATTTTACTATGGTTTCTGACAATTGACCAATCAGGAATAATCTGACCAATCTGGCCAACTGGCCAACCGAGACCAATCTGACCAATTAGGACCATTCTGACCAATAAGAATAAATCAGGACCAGTCTATTTATCTGAATAGGCTTCTAAATCAAGGTCCAACAAAACTGTTGGACCTTGTTCTGGTTTTTTGGAGTTTCTCTGATAATGCTGGTTGATTTGTTCTTGGTTGTTTCTGTGATGAAGGAAGGTCAAGGATCCCAGCAGCTCTTCGGGCCTTGGGAAGTCCACCAGAGGTATTTGCTTACCTAAACCCTCCTGAACTCCCTGTGTAATCGTTTCTGCTCTAAAGTCACTTTCTGTTTCCTACAGATGATTCCGGGAGGATGGCCCACTTCACCTTGACGACCCAGTCCACCTCTTCCATGCCGGTTCTAATCAGGAGCAAAACTACGAGCCTCCTTGACCAGGCCGGTATGCTGGAGCAGAGAGACCCCAGAACCAGCAAACTGGACCCCAGGACTGGTAACAGAGAGCACAGGAACAATATGATGGAGCATAGAACCAGTTCCCTGGAAGAAAGAGAGCACAGAACCATCTCCCTGGACCACAGGGATCCCAGAACCAGCACCTTGGGTCAGCGCAGTAAGACGATGGAGCGTGGCAGTGGGATGATGGACAGTCAGTCCAGGAGGCTCTCCATGTGAGTCCTGACTAAAGGAACCAGGCAGACCTTAAAGGAATAGTACACCCAAAACATGATTAGCCTTCATTTTCTACTCACCCCCATGCTGAACAACACTCTGGAGTACTTTTTTGATATC